TTGTTATGCCAACTGCGTTTGAGGATTGGTTGGTAGGTAGGTGGATTGTGGGGCCATATGAAAGCCACAAAACACTAAAAACTACAAAGGCGCAAACAACTTTTGATTGCCAAAAACTGGCCAACGTATGCCTGAGACCCTGACACCGGTCCGATCTGCTCCGTCCTTTGTTGGGAAATTTTCAAAATTTCAATCACGTAAGCAATTCCCTGGCCCGCATTCTCGCTGTTTTTTATACCCGGTGCTCGAAGAGCATAGGGTATATTTGATTTGTGGTAACAGTGGATGTGTGTAACATCCAGAAGGAGGCGTTTCCGACCCTATAAAGTATATACATATATTCTTGAACAGCATCAAGAATCGAGTCATGTCTATCTCTCCGTCTTGTTTGACGGAGATTGTATACTTCTTAGAGATTGTATGAGCTAGAGCAACCAAATATCGCAGAATCGAAGAGAATGAGGATATCTACCAGACTGCACAATCTGAATCAGATCGGATCATTATTATATCTCGAAGGAACAAATGAAATTGCAGTGGCTTTGTTAGCGTCTCTCTCTCACACACTCTTCGTCATGCAATGTGTGCGACCTCTGGCGGAGGGGAGCCTACTGACTGAGTATCGGGTATAAATGTAGAGTCGCGGCCGTAGCTGCGACTCACAGCATTCCGCCTCGTTTTTTTTGGTAAAGTTAGTTTTAAGGTTTGCCAGAAAACAATTATTTATAGCATTAGAGGAACAGTTTTTATTATCTCAATGTCGATGTCGATGTCGACGTCGGTTTCGGTTACAGTTTCAGTTTCCTTTTTGCGGTTTGGCAAGGTTCGATTTTCAATTTGCGTAAAATGCAAGCGGGAGATGAATAAATGAATCATTTGGCAGTGAATGAAAGTGGCCAAGGGTAGGGGAAAACGAGTGATACTGTGGATTGTATGGTAATTGCACATGCATGTTAACCCCGAAGCCGCTGACAGCAGCATCTCCAGGACCTGGCCTCTGCCCCTGCCTCTGACTCTGCCCCGCTCCTGGCCCTGCCCCTGTCGACACGCTAAGCAATTTAACAATTTTACAGACAATTAAACAACAACATGCTGCTGTGGATGGGATGTTCCGTCCTGTAGTCCTTGGTTGTCCTTCGGCCGAGCTGTCATTGAATCGACTACGACGACAAAATGGCTAAAATGTACTTGCATCTAGTGCTCGGTTGTCCTCAACCTCCATATCCATGGCTCTGGCACATAAAATATCGATTAGTTTAATGTGCAAAAATAGCAGCAAGTGTTTCTTTGGGGGTCATCTCCTCCTTGCCCTCCCGTCTACCCCCGTCTACATGTACGAGTGGAGAGACATTTTGAACAAATTGAATTAAAATTGTAAATATCGCATCGGAGGACTGCCTCGAACTTTATTGCCCCACTCCCCCCCCACCCACACTCACACACACACACAAATCAAATGCACACAAAGGTGAGCAAAATGTGGGTAGGGACAGGGAATTTTCGCAGGGACTGTGTCTGCCAAAGTTTACGCCTTTTGTCGTGTGGAATAAAAAAGAGAGAGCAAATGCCATAAAGGAAGCAAGAAAAGCTGAAAATAGCGCAGAAAACTGGAAACGGAAAACGGAAAAAGGGACCAGGGAAAAGCCACCGATACTGATGTTGCAGGCGTATCGAAGATAGCCTTGTTTTCCCCATTTTTTTTTGTCGCGCAAATTGCATTTCATTCAAAAAAGCATAAACTTCCCGGTCACACACTCGATTTGCCACACATTTTTTGTTCGCCATGTGAAAAAACGCGCACTCGTATTTCAATTGAAGTGTAAAACGAATATGGGACAACTGCGAGAGTCCTTTACGAACATAAAGTCTCGAGGGCCTTAAAGTTGCTTTACGGATGCTGTATATTTTCTTTGAAGTTATTTTTAATCAAAACATTGCCTCATATACAACCATGCATTTCGTAATGAAAACAAACGCATCATTTATACTTATTTTTTAGATCCGCAAATGGGTATGATAATACAAAATCCATTCGCTTGGCTCGGCATTTTAAGTACTGGCATATATGGCCATTGAATGGATATCTTCTGCCCCGATATGGCACACATTATCGTTAAATGTCGGCAGCCAGACAACAGCCAGTTGGCATGCAGCTTGATGACTGGGAAGTCGGCAGGAATTTTGATGATGCCATTCAACAGAAGGCGAGGCGAGAGTGTGGGAGGACCTCCTGTGCGAGTGTGAGTGCGAGTGCGAGTGCTAGTATGTGTGTGGGCCCTAACGATGGCTCGTTAGAAATGGATTAACATTGATTAGTTCTTATGGCGGCAGGCACAACACCACGCTGAACACACAGAAATTTGTCTAATTAAAGGTCTACCCGCAGAATAAATTGAAATTTTCTTTGAATAAATCTCTGAGTCTCAGAATGTGGTTCATTCTTTCGGTAATAAAATATCAAATCTTGAAGGGTATAAAAAAACAGAATCTGTACCCATAAAATGTGCTTTCATTGGGGCCTTTCCGCTGAACCGAATTCCGTAAATGTAATCCTGCTTTGGGTTTTTCTTCCTTTTACTTTGACTTTTTTTTACTTTTTTCTTTGCTCATAATTTTCTTCCTTCATTTTTCCTATTTAGTCTTATTTATTCTTCACATCCGGCCCATTTGTACAGGAAGTTGCTGGGGATATTCGGTTGCTGCCTTTTCGCTTGGGTTCGACTCGATTTTCCCTGCTTCGATTCGCTTTTCCTGGCTTCGCTTCGCACTTTAAAGAGCTGTCAGGGAGGATGTGGAATTGGGTTCCCCTATCGATGCGGATTGGCTTTCCAATTACGACTCCCTGCAGCTGAATTCTAATTAATTTTAATGAGTGGTTGCTTCAACTGCAGTTCAAGTTGCATGTGGCTCCTTTAGTTCCATATTCCAATTCAAGAGTGGGGGAGGCGGTTCTGTAATTCATCATACATCAGACAGATACAAACTCCATAACAAAGGGCGAGTTTTCTTTACATTTCCGCTTCAATAGCATCGCCATCGACCTCGCACAATTTCCGTTTCCTGTGTGGCAAATACACAAATCCGGCTCCAGCGAAAAACCCAATCAAATAAATATTTACCCAAGTAAATACAGCATAAGCTCTTATGCGACAATTGGGCGTGGAATTCAAGGCCAGGCGTCTTATTAAAAATTTAGTTGAAATTGCCAGTGACAGGCGTGCAAAGTTTGTCAGCTGCAGAGAAAGGTCTCGCTTTCTCTCATTAAAAATTCATAAAGATGGAAATTATGATTGCGATGAGCCGACGACAAAATGTCAGAGGCAAAGGCTTCCCTAGACTGCTGCTGCTCCCATCCTCTGTCCTCGCTGTGACGTAAAACCCCCGAGAGATAACTCCTAGCGCAAGCAAGTTCCGAGGACGTAATGATTATGGAGTAATAATGCTGGTGACACTGGCACAAGGCGATAATGAGAGCAGAGGGAGGAGCGTTGCGCATACGCCTCGTACACCCCAAAAGAGTTAAGAGCCTGTTCCAATTCCATGGAAATTACTCACATGTTGGCACAAGGAACTCTGCAACCTTCATTGAATTATCTCCCCACAAAAGCAACTGGCAGCCACGTGTCTGTGTGGTTGGAGTCAACTTTTTGGCAGACCGGACATAAAAGTTTTCCCATCTAGGCTACTCTCTCGTCTGTCGGTTGTTTGGGCCAGAGAGGGACCGACGTTGTATTGTCCTTTCTGGGGCCTAATTAATAAAGGATGCAGGGCCCGCTCCAAGCAACTGCTTTCGAAGGGTAATTTAACTGCATCAAAGAAGGACGACTGGTACTCCTTCCGGATGGGAATTGTCAGGCACAGATCAACATTTGTCTGGCCAAACATTTGAGGCGTGGCTTAATCGAAAACTCGTCACTAATTTCAATTAAAGTTGGAACGCAGGCAAACAAGCAGAAAATCGACATTCAACTGCAGATTGCAGACGGACTGACAGACAGACGGGCAGAGAGAAAACGCACTGCTTTGCAACAACATTAACCGACATCCTCTGGCAGCCGCAGACAGGTCCAAGGCAAACAGAGAACTTGGATGTGGTATTCATTTGCATAGCATGGCATGCCAAGGCGAGGCATGCAGCAGTTGCAGCCCTCCTCTAAATTCTGCCCCGTCAACAAATCAATTTGAGGCGGACTTACCATACAAATTTGAACATCGATTGTTGTTTGTCCAGCTCTCCCGGGAATGGGGAATGAATCGATGAATGAAAGATGGAGCTCCTCCGAACCGAAGGTCACAAGAAGTTCCTTGAAAGAACACCACCAACATTATGATCATGGCTACCCATCGTTTTGAAATATGGTTGTAACTTGTTACCCAACACTGGAGTCCAACACTGCCAAGCTGCTACAAAGAATAATAATTTTGACACTAGTTCTGTTTTCTCAAACTAAATTGTTGGCCTTTGGCGCTTTTTGTGTGTGTGCAATGTTGATTAATTATGTAAGTACATTATCGTAAAAGATTAAGAAGTGGCATCCCGTCTTTTCTTTGAACTGCCTTCCACATGAGATGGTTTCTTCGATGCCGCTTGTTTGGTGCTTTTCCTGTTTGCTCATCTTAAATATTTGTTTTGAAAGTATGTGTTAAACTCCCCGTATCTTTTCTATGGCTTGCGGTCTTTTGGCTAGAAGAGAGGACTTTTTGCTGGCCAAAAAGCACACGAAATAACTGCCGGCAAACAGGCTCTGGATGGGCTACGAAGTGGGTGCGGGGGGCAGGGCTTTCCGTTGACAAAATCCCTTGGCAGCAGCCACAGCCAAGCCGAATCGTGGAGAGATATATTTAACTGTTTGGCATATTATGGCTTTTATATTGAGTTGTTTTGGACTTATCTAGTTTACGGCCAACAGGCCACGCCGGAGTGGGACTGGGAGTGGGAGTGGGAGCATGCCATTGAGCCGAAAGGATTGGCCGAACAGCAGAGCGAACAAATACCGTCGCCTCTTTATGGCTGGAATTAAAATTTGTTTGGAACTGCTGCCGAGATAAGGCCCGAGGCCCTGGCTTCAACTTAAACTAATGCCAATGGATCCGAGCAAATAGCCAGATAATGTGGCATGAATTACGAGTACGGTGTATGCGGTGGATGTATGCCGTGCGGCAGCTGAAGGAATGTAAATCATTTGTAAAGTGACTTGCCTAAGTGGTTGGGCGTTGGGAGCTGGGAGTTGCTCTTTGGGTTGGCCTGAATGCAGTGGGACCTGCAGAGAGCATTAACATAAATTACCTTGCAACACGATCCGACGTCTCTGACTCCAGCCGCAACGTGCCACCAGCAACAATCACAAGCACACACAGAGATACTCAGACACAGATACACATGCAGGACACACAGATGCAGGCAGGACAAATACAAAGTCATAGAAATGAAGTGGTTAAGTGGTCGACTTGCAGGACCAGACAGGCAGACCAACAGACGGACATACGGACAGACGGACAAGACTGACACACAGACACGTAGCGCTTGCTGTGTGGCAACTTTACAGGATGTTTCAGCAGCAGCAAGACGAATCTTTGCACATTTCCTATGTGTCCAATGGGGTCGCACTGGCTGCCCCGCCGGCCCCGGAACCAGCACCAACACCAACACCGGCACCAGGCCCTGCTCCGGCCGACGAGGTACGTGAGACACTGGCATGGGCGCCCAATCTTTGACTGCTCGCACCCGGCGCGCCTGTCGGCGTGGTGGGCTGGAGGAGCGGCGAGTCCAGGCTTCCGTTGCCGCCGGCTGTGGCGCCGCTGCCACTCGCCCCCAGACTGCTGGTGGCACGCGTCAGGAACCAGCAGTCCATGGGCGTGGGCTTGCCCTTCATGATAACCGGGCCGCGGTACTCCAAATGAAATGAATCATCCTGGTTGATCGCCTGGCACAGCAGTCTGTAAGGAGAAAGAATCCGAAACAGCGAATAAGTCTCATGTTGAAGGAACGGAAATAAAAGGAAGGTCCCCTGCCGGAGGAGCGGAAATAAGAGGAATGTCTCATGTTAGAGTAGCGGAAATAAAAGGAACGACTCCCATGTTAGAGGTGGAGAAAGAGCTGTGAGTTATGTCAAGGAGGCGTGTCCTAAAAGGCTATAATGCACTTCGGATGATGCATTGCACTCGGAGTCGGTCCCTGCATCTCTCTCAATAAATTGCTGCCATAATTTCTCCCTGTGCGACACTCTGTTGTTAAACTTTTTGTTTATTAGATTGCATCGCATCTCATGGAATTATGTAAATTCGCCCGGACATATGGATATAGTGTGTATATCCGCCATGGAGCCACACAGCCCCATATGTAAACGCCCATGAAATTTTGGTGAAAACGAAAACAGAATAACAAGTACAGAGCGGGTCTTCGATGTTACGACTTTGGGAGTACCTAGTACTCCAGAAGCTATGTGTGTAAATGGATTTCATTGGAGTACTAAATGTAGATATAAATATTTATATATTTACATAATTTATAAAGTTAATAGTATTTGTTGGTGTCTGTGCCACATATTCCCTGTCTACCCCTGAGTTCTACGCGCAACGCGCATAAAAATGTCGCCAGGCTCTCGCCTCGGACGCATTTCCGTTTCCGCCACGAGGGGCCGCATCGCTGTTTCTGCATGTGTGTCCGTTTATATACATATATATGGATATACGGTTGCTCATGTGTATATGTGAACTTATTTACATCGGATACGAGTACTCTTTTGATTGCATACGCATTTAATTCAATTCATTTGCAACATTTGCCACATTCGACGGCCTGCATATGGCCACAATACGGCGACCGCCTTTTTAATTAGCGTTGAGCTCTGCCTCCATTGTTCGGAACAGATCAGGTGTGCCAAGGAGGAATATCCACAGGGGATAATGAAGTGCACTTAATTATGAACCCTTTGGAGACCGGGACCACTGGATTGGGGTCACATTTTATTTTATTTGCATGTGCGATTAAGCCGAAGCAGCCAAAACCTACATCATGGCCGGGTATCATCTCCCTTCTCTGGATCTCTGGGTGTATTTTCTTAATTACTGTTTATGACTGTGCTTAAATATTTACTCAACGCTTAATTGTCTGTCCAAATATTAAGCGTGCAAACAGTGCCACGGATGTGCCGCAGAGGCAGAAAATGAATAATTTATGTGGCAATTGATATGTCGCCCCACCGACTCCTAAGAAAAATACGGAATATTCGTTCCACACAAGCAAACAATGCGCCAAGTAAACATTTTCCATGATGATTGTTATTTGAAAATATACAATACATTCGCATGAATACCATTTTATTTGGTTGAGCATTAAAAAAACAATAGAAAAATGGGAAAACAATTTTCGTACAATAACTTCTATGGTATTCATGGCCGGTGCTTGTCCAGCGAGCGACACTTTGGCATTCATTAAGCCCATAAAAACCGATTGTTAAGGTTTTAATTTGTATCATATGGAAATTTAAAATGTTGAAAATAAATATTTATAGCCTTGGCGGGTGTTATTACCGATGACATACCGTGAGTCGTAACCGTCAAAATCGGGTCACTATGTCGTGTATGGCATAGTAGGACAGGCGGATCTTCCAGGAATCATTCGATCGAGCTACCATGAGAAATATAAATTGAGATATTCCCACTAAATGATAAAGGGCACTTTCACTTTCATAATTTTCTCCGTATTTAAGAACATTTTATAAATGTTGAAGGGTATCCAAGCATCTAGTAAGAAAATTGCCTTGTTTTTTCGTTTTATTGCATTTGAATTCTCTTTAATGCTAATGAACCGCATTTAAAAGGTCTCTCTCCCAACTCCCACCACCCACTCACGCACCCCCATGGCTCTCTTCCCTGCCAGAGAGCACACTGTTATTCGAGCAGAGAGGAGAGTGTGTGTCGAGAGTGAGAGCGAGTAGGTAAACAGCTGAGCGCCCCATTCGAATTTTATCTACCGTTCTTGCCGGCAGCTTTCGTGGAGTGAAATTTCTCTGTGAGTCTTGTGTGGCAAATGAATTGTTTCGTTGTTGGGGGAAAAGGCTAAAAAATTGCCCAATTGCTGTATCTAAATTTGGATAAACACTCGACACGACTTCATTTCAATCGAATCAGAGAGCAGCACCACATAAATCCACTTGGCGGCCTGCAATCAAACACCTGTTTGTCATCACCACACACACCCACACACTCGTGATAACGGAGACTACAATTTTTCATTGAATTCCATTGAAAATCACCGCCAACGTTTCTCGATTTGATGTATACTCCATGGTTTGGATTTCTGGCGCACCGTATTAATTTGTTTATATTTTCAACGCTTCGTGCTTTGTTATTCCCAGCGCACATCATTGCCAGCCCGAAAAAATCAATAGCCACCAGAGAGAGGGCACAAGAGAGAGTGCTGTCACCCCAATCAGCTGGACACGCAGGCTACATTTGGCAGGAAGGTGAGGCAGCATGGCCGTGTGTGCTTTCCTCCCTCTCTGTGCAGTACCTTTTCATGAATATGATCTGTGTCTCTCTGACGTGCCGCTCATTCGTTTCTTCTGTTGGGGAATTTTTTTCTAACGGAAATTTAACGAAATTTAAATGTTTGTGGGAAACACTTTTTGTGTATATATAAGAATTGTTGAGTTTTTGTTGCGTTAATTGTTTGTGACATGTTTTTGCAGTTGCTCGATGCATTTCAGCGGCTTGCAAGTCAATTAAAACGACAATTTGTGTGGATTCGCTGCTGGTTGCCATTGCCGCAACGCTTCTACGGCTTCCGGCGGTCATTTCTAGTAGACCCGGCACGGACACGGGCACGGGAACGGGCCAGCTACCAGTGCAATCCGAGGGCGACGCGTCGCCAACTGGTCATGGACTACATCTTCGAGTGCTTCTTCGAGGACACATTCGATCAGATCACCCGCAACGGCCTGCAGGATCGACAGTCGCGTCGGGACGTGCTCGACCATCTCAGTTCTATAATCAAGGGCTGCAGCGAGGGCCAGAACACGCAGACAGATGAGGTGGCTGGCATAGCCGTGGTGGCGGCCATGCGATATCACCGACTGGCCAAGGAGGATAATGGCGGAAAGGTGAGCTAGTTATGGACCTAATAACAATTTCTAAAGTGTAGTTTTTTAATAGTATTAAGCACCAAGCTCACACTTGGCATGCATTACCATTAACCTTAATTTAAGTTGGTCTTTGACATCAGCAAAACTTGTCCTCCTTTTCATTTCTCATCTGTGATGCTCGTACTCCCGCAGGTATGCCTCATGGGCAAGTATCACAACATCCTGTACATCGCCCTGCGCACCTGCTGGGACTGGGGTGTGCGCGACTCCGAGGTGGTCGTCCAACTCTTGGGTAAGTCAAAGCCAAAAGCAAGCCCCAACAAGAAAGCAGCCCCAACTAAATAATTTAATCTATATGCATATGTATGCGGTGGAACTTCTTTCTCTCTCTCGCTTTCTCCTGGTGTGTGGGGAGTGGGGGAGTCTGGGGCGTGGTTGGTTGGGGCTTTGCATATTATAATGAATTTTATCCCATCCCATCCCATCGCATCGCATCAGATTATTACGCCCATGAGCTGGCTGGCTGTAGGCTGGCTGGCAGGCAGTTTTCACTTTAATCACGTGTTTCTGCTAATTGCGTTAAGAAAGTGTTGCTAATGTTATTTTGTTGTTTGTTGCTGATGTTGCCTGCCCCTCATTACTGTTGTTGCTGCTGCTGTTGCTGCATCGTAAAACCTGTAAAGTGCCTTAAAGTGTTGCAAGTTATTTGGTGCGTGTCTATGCGTGTGCCTGGGCTCTAATTAAAATGCTGCGTAAAGTTTTGCGAGCGAGCGAGCGAAAGTGCCAGAAATTAATGGCATGCCACAGTCAAGGGAAACAGGACATCTAACCACCCAGCCACTGAGACCCATGACATGGACGAGGCCTGTCTCTGTCTCTGTCCCATGTCCCGGACTCGTGTGCAATAAAATGTCTGCCTTGTTTGTGCTGTGTTTACTCTTGCCTAACATTCGAGCTTTTGTCGTGCTTTCGGGCTCTGCTCTTCTTTCACCAGCAACATTTCTGGCTGCTTCCGTTTTCCGTTGACTTCATTTTGCTGCCAAAAAAGGAAGAAGCGACAGCGAAACCAAAAGCCAAAAACTCAGCCAAGCAGCAACAAGTGCAGCCACGTAATTAGCTTTTTTATGACCGCATTTCCATGGCCGCTGCGATTTGATGACATTATTTAACCGTCACTCTTTCCTTTCCACTTTCTACTTTCTCCGCTTTACCAACTCCAATTCCACAACAACCCGCAACAAAGTGGCCATTTATGAGTGCGAGAAGACTTTCGAGCGGATATTCCTGGGCGCCTTGTTTGGGCCACATGCTCCGCACTTTATCGCCGGTTGGCGCAGCGACTTTCAGGATCAGGTGAGAATATGCAGCCCCCCCCACAGCACGGATAGACAATGATGCAAGCCCTATGTATTCGCAGCATGAAAACGTCCGAGCCGTGGTTTACTTTCTGAAGCATGCCACACGCGAGAAGCTCATGTTGCCCGTCTGGATACCGCGCTTCGAGGAGGAGAGACAGCTTCGGTGAGTGCTTGCCCTTCCTGTCCTTTGACTTTGTCCCCGGATTGTCCTGTCCTGGCTTATATAATCGCGTTGACACAAGCTGCATGTGGCTGCCTCAAGCCATCCCCGGCACTAGTCGTGTTAATTGGTTCGTTTTGTGGAGGCCAAAAGTGTGTATTGTTTTCGTTTTGGGAGATATTCCTGTGTATTTCGAGACTATTTGAGACCCTCTAGTGGGGCTGTTAATCCAAGCGGAAGGGTATCGTATCCCATTCTCTGTAGTTGTAAGTGAATTTGTGCTCTTCATAATTATAATTATATTTCGCATACAATCAGAAACAACGAAACAACAAGCCTATTAATAACCCCCGGGGAACTAAGGAAAGAGTAGCGAAACTGAAAAAGGGGACCAGAGAAATGAAAGGATTTTAATTAAATTAATACATCAGCCATTGTTGTGGCTCTCCATATGGGTGTCGTGTGTGTGTGTGTGTATGACTGCCATAATTGAGTGAAAGATGGCGACACTTTACACACTCTCGCACCCACACCCACACCCACTTCCACATCCACACAGAGATTCATTCAGACAATGGCCGCAGCGGCTCTCAATCACTGGTGCTCGCTCGCCTGCTTGGGCCTTGCTGCTGCTGGTGTCATGTATAATTAAGATTTTCACTTCCAGGGTTGGGGTTTTCTCGTTCCTTTGCACTTTGCCCCTTCTGCTCTGCAGAGATTTATGCACATATGTACGTGAGGGTGTCGCTGATGCGATAAGCTGGAAACCAACAGGCACCAATGTAAACCTTTTGTTATTTCGGCTTTGTTTCGCAGCACTCCCGAGGATTAAAGTCAAAAATGCGTGTAATAAGCGCACAAAGCTCTCTTACTCTCCTCTGCCATCACGCCTCCACCCCCTCAAATCTATACACACAAACATATCCTCTGTGTGTGTGTGTGTGATTCTTAAACAAACAGAAGACACATACAGAAAAAAGCTGACTGACTGGCAAACATTAAGACGACATTTATGATGCCCTCTCGCAACAGAAGCCAGGGCCATGAATAAGCGTTAATAGCTGCGAATGTGTGGGTGTGTGTGTGCATAGAGTCTGATTCTGTGTGCAGGAGGTTGGACCGGATGTGAGCATAGCTGCTGCTGTTGCTGCTGCTGCAGAGTAAAAAGCAAGCAGTACGCCCGCCAAGCAGTACGACAATAAATGTTTTGGCCAAATGCCGTTAAAGCTGCATAAATCAGAGCTCAAATAGCATATTGGAAAAAATTGTACCATACAGCATTCACAAAAGAAAGGGAAAACAGATCCCAAAAAGAGTATGGAAACAGAATCACATATTGCAAGACTTCCACAGGTGGACTTCTGTGACTTCTATGTTTTAATGGAAGAGAGCTCTTCCAAACCATTTTAAGCCTTTTGAATTTATCTTTTATCTGAAAATTCCTACTCCATGAGTACTTGTGATTTGTACTCGTAACGTATTCAAGCTCACCTGCAATGCTTTATAGAAAATCCTGCGTATTTCTTATGCCATATTCACCTGGCTTAAGTTATGCATTCTAAGACATATGCTAAGCTAACTTTTAACTCGGGAAAGCACTCTCCAAAATCCTTAAGTTAAAAGTTAAAAGTACTCACTGTAGATGAGTGAAAGATGGAAGAGCTCTTGCCGAGAAGAACGTCAACAGCTGACACCAATTTGATTTGTCAGTCAGCTCATCAGCCGATTAAATGGTAAATGTTTGATTTACGTTGCAAATCAGTTCCGAGTGGAGGTCTTAGCTGGGAAAGGTTTTACTGTGTCGCTGGCAAATGTCTTGCTCTCGCTTTTATCGCTGCCAATAAAACGCAAATGAATTTCCAGGACAATTTGCAGGCTGCCAGAAGGATGGATGGGGGCTCAAAATGCTCTTATCGTGTGCTCAGCAGCGTAGGTGTAAGACAGTCACTTCTCTCTCTCTCTCTCTCCCTCTTTCTTTGTGTGCATGTGTGGGTGTATGGGTGCTACTTCCGGTTTATTGTGGTTTCTGATCTTTTATTTGCCTACTTTTATGCGTAGACATAAAAAGCATATGTATGCGTATGTGTGGGCGGGTAGGGCGTATTGATGTGTTTGTGTGTGTATTGTGTCGCAAATGTGCCTTAAGTGCAGTGTACAAGCTAATGCCTGAATGGAGACAAAAACGCCTCCAAGAAGAACGACATTGCGTATACGCAATATTAAAGGTGGGAAGTCTCTCTTTCTCTGGCTTACAGAAAGCCAGGAATGAGTGGTAGGCGAGCAACAAGCAGCTTAATTGTGCCCTGGCACTCACTCTCCCTATGTCCTTCTGTGTGTGTGTGTTCAATGCGTGTGGCCCATTTAGCCTGTTAGCTGCCTGTTAAAGCCAGCTTCGGGCTTGCCAACTAAAGCTTCTGTTGCCACAGAGTGTGGCCTCGAAAGTAGCATTTCTTGAGCATTTATCCACTCTAACACTCTCTTTCTTCTTCGTGATCCCTTTCAGATTCATTGATGTGCCCATTGAGTCCTGTGGCAGGTCCTCGCCGCTGCGCATCGCCCTGCAGGCAAATGCTCCCGAGCTGCTGCTCATTCTCCTGAGGTAAGATTCTGCTATGCCGAGGACTGGGGTGTTACTGGCGCTACGTACCACCAGTGGCAGCCACTTCAATTAGCGCGAAATATGCAAAGCGGTCGCCACTTGGTGGCGCCTCAATGTATGCAACATAAACTACAAGACGCTTAGCATAAGCAAGTGGTCGACAGCACAAAAAAGAGCGGGAAAAGAAAGAAAAAATTATCATTAAATATGAAAGTCGCTGCCAAAGCGAATTTGCATCACAAGGCGGGCCATCGTCTCCATTCTGTCTCATGGTCGCAGGCCACCAAGAAGGCAGCTTGAAGCTCGAAAGTTACGAGTGCCATGCACTCAAAGGCACCAAGAACCACAAGAAAGAAAGCCCAGAATTGGGGGCAGAACTTTAAGATACCCTTGCAGTCAGAAAGGTTCCAACCGTCGAGCTACCATAGATACTGATCAAGACAGATACATTTACCATCGAACTGAGGGCACCATTCTCTTTAGATCAAAACACGTAATACTCTCTGTTTAGGGTACAATAAAAGGCGGACCAGGGATTCATAAATTTGATATGTATGTACACGCCTGCAGTTTTCGGCACCCGACCTTGACTCTGGAATCGCCCCCTTTTTCAGCACTGCCCTGGCAATTTATTGTTTCTTAACTTGATATTGCACGATGGGCTGACGCTACGGCCACGCCTCATTGCTTTCCCTTTTCGCCCGTTTCCGCCTCCTACAATTTTCTTGGCACTGCCTGGTCTGCTTTTCAATTTTTGATGCAGCGCCAAAAAAGATGCTTTGCATAAAGCGCGAATATTGATTGCAGGCCAGCCAGCAAAAGGCGGGGCGAGGCGAGTCCCAATAAAGCCAGAACAACTGAAACTTTTTGTCTACAAGTCATGGCTGAGATGCTCTCTTTGATGCTCTCCAGAGGCTGTAGAACAGGCTATGAAAGGACGCAGTGGAGCTTGGGTCTGGACTATAATTTCATCCGAAGTGCTCAGATTTGTATATGAGATTTCTCTGGCGAGCAATCAAAGTGCGCTGGCTGTGGTCTTGTAACTATTAAGTGTTCATAAATTTGAGTGGGACTGGCATCAGAATTTATTGAACCATCATCATCAAATATGCACCACTAAAAGTATGGCCTGTGAAAAAACTTTAATATTCTGTGGTTTTCCGAACTCTTTTATTGAATTTAAATATTCATTTTCATATGTAAAAGGTGTTGAATACCAGCCTCGGGCTTGGTCAGGTAATGTTAATGTTCGGAGGGGGATTCGAAATGTTTATTTCATAAAAATTGAGTGTCATAAATTTGTTTGAGTTCTTCCATAAATAAAGAACTATTTTATCAAGCCGTAAAGCATTTAAAACTGATGGTAATCTCCTTGGAAGCCAAACAACGAAGTGGAATGTTCCCTTATTTCATTATTTGGACATTCTTTTACAATTTGTTACTGTCCGGAGCTCTTGCATTTTTCCCTTGGAATATTTCGAAATTAAAAACCAATTTTCCTCTACAAAAGTGGAGCTATGGACGCCATGAGGCAGAAGAAGAGTTCGAGATTCCTGGCAGGCAGCTGCGTTGATTGCACCAAGCAGCAAATTGCAATTGCAATGGCTTCGATTGATGGCAAATGTTTGTTTGGCTTGCCAATTCCCCGCTGGCCGTGCCCCATGCTTCATGCTTCATGCTCCATGGTCCCACGCCCCATGCTGTGACTCTCCATGCTTCACTTTTCATCCCCGACCACCACTTGATTTCCCTTCAAACCCATTTGGGCGAGAGACTGGGGATTGTCAGTTGGTTTCTGTTGCTGTTTCTGCGTCGTCGCCTTGCTGCCTCATCATACTCTTGGACAGTGGGAGGGTATAAGGATTCTGCAGAGATGTTTGCCGTATCACAGATCATGAATGGTGGTCTAAGGGTATCCAAGGCTTCGCCTATCGTAGGGCACCTTTTCTATCTTGTCTGATTCTGATTCAGCTTTTGCGACTGCTGTTTTTGTGAATCCGAATGCCGGCCCATAAATTCTCGATATTGTTTCGCTTTTGTGTGTTTTAATTTGCGTTCGCTTTTCGCTTTGCTGCATTTTCATTTGAAATTGGCCATAAAATATGCAAATGAATGCGGTGAGATGTATTTTTTGCCACTGCCACACGCCTCTGCCATACATGCCCCTACCATTTGGTCGAGAGTTGATTTACTTGTGCATAATTGCGCATACGCCATCTGGCTCTGCGGTTGCTGCCAAAAGACAATATTTATATGACGTGGCCGGACGAATGAGAGAACATATAAATTACAATGCTTATCGGGCACTGAAATGAATGAAATAAATGAGCATTTTTGACAAACATTTTCAATTTTAAAACTGACACGGCCCGTCCGCCAATGCACTATGGTCCGAACGACCACTTTTGTTGGCCAAAACCTAATTTTTCAAAGTCAAAACTGAAACCTGGTTTTGATCGCTCTGCATTAGAAAAAGATCGACCATTAAATCTGCGTACCAGAAATTTCCATAGATGGCGCCACATTCGCAAAATCAGCTGTGCAACCCAACTGTTTTTATAGTAAAGCACGTGAAGGGAAAAAGTGGCAAATTAATAACCACTTTAGATATCTCAAAAATTGAAAAACGCCAAGACGTGATTAAATTTTTTTGATGAATCTTAATCTGTCGGGTTCTTACTACGTGTTTTGAGTTTTTAACTGTCTCTAGTAGTTCTGATGTCTTCGTAATTGAAGGTTAAAGTGAGGCCTTCAACATGTGCCAACTTGTAATGAAAACTAATTTTTGAAAAGGTGTACAAAGTGAGTCCTACCTAGTCCCACCCTGAAACCTTTTCTGTGTCGTAGATTAATAAATTCTTTTTGAAATGTATATAGTTAGAAATGCCACTTTTTACCACAATTCTTGGAATTTGCATTAATAGAGCATAACCTCAAATTCGAAAATGCATATTTGTTTGCCGAATGGAATTCAGAGAAGGGTAAAATTATCAATTATTTGAAAACGGATCTTAAGGCGACATATCATATGAAATTAATAAAGCTTTTGAAGATACCAGCAAGAAAATTTGTTACCGTTTGGCAACATACCGGAACAAATGCCGGTAAAATTCAAAGATGTTTGAACGAAAATATGTGGATTGGCCACAAGCCTTTGTTATAATACATTTATCTTTATGTCCAAATATGCTAACTAAGTTCGTAAGGCTGTACAGGACCCAGTCGGAAAGCCGGCACATATCTCACTTAACGAGGCGTTAACCTTGCTTCTAGACAAGGATTTCGGCAATAATTTACGGAAACCTTTAAACGATTTTATTTTTATTTAAATCAAAATTTTTTTTAGTCGTTCAACGCCGTTTTCTTAAATAAAATATGCTTAATACTTTTTTTCACTATAACTAAAAATTTAAATATGCATTATTAAAAAAAGGGGCGGTGCCACACCCATTTTTTTTCTTTAATCCATTTCTTATTGATTATATGTATCCAATACAAAAAACTAGATGAAAAAATCTTGTTCCGTTCGGGAGTTATTAATTTTGGCCAACAAAAGTGGTCGTTCGGACCATAGTGCAATGGCAGTAGCAGCAGCAGCAGCAGCAGCAATGGCACACACATGCCCCAATTTGCACTTCATTTGCCATTCCATTCACTCAGGATTCGCTACATTGTTTCTCTGTCTCTTTCAACCACTGTCATGTGTATCTCCAGCTCTCTCTGTCTCTTTCTCTCTGGTTTTGTGTGTGTGTGAGTGTGTGTATGTGTGCAAGTGACACAACCGCGAGCCATGTCTGTTCATTATTTCATTTGTACATTGTGTTTATCGGGGCATCTAGCATTTATTACCTCCTGTCCCCGGACCTCGTCGCACCATCTACATACAGGGTTCCTGCCTGCATTCACCGCAAGCTAACCAACTACGAGTACGTGCCGGCAGCCTGCACGGGCGTCTCATTTGCAAATAGTTACCCTCCTCTCCACACTCCACTCCTGACCATTCACCATTGACCATTGACCATTGACCGCTTCATCGTTGCAGATACGGCGCCTCACCGCATCCCCCGGACGGAGGCACCTCGGTAATCCTGGCACTGCTCGACAAACTAATTGAGAATGGCCGCAATTACAGCTACGAACTGGTGCTGTGCCTCAAGATACTGTTGCGAAACGTGGCCATGATTGAGATGCCCTTCAAGGTGAGTACGATAATCCATCTTTAAGGCCCGGCTCAATGTCTCTATACTTCTTTTCAGCCCCTGTTGTATGGCTCACGCAGGGAGATGTTCTTCGAGCGCTACGGCAGACTGTTAATCGACAAAATCATTGGCAAGGAGCAGGTGTATGGTGTGCCCACACTGCGTCACCTATGTCGGTAATTATGATCTTTGAGCCCCTGATAGACTGTAGTCTGACTTCCGTAGTAATTTTCATATTTTTATTCAATTACTTTGGCTTAGGGCTGTGCTGTTTTGGGCTCTGCTCTGCTGTGCTGACCTTTCGATATGCTTGCTTAACTTTCTACGGGCAGACAATTTTGTGATAAGCCCGAAAAATGAAATAAGCATAAGACAGGCGGACAGGCGGCCGGACGGATGGACGGACGGACTGACTGGCAGTTTGAAAAACGTTTGGCCTGCTCCTAAGCTCTGATTCTGACTCTGGCCTGGTTCTAGTTCTGGTTCTGCTTTTGGGGCCTTTGTCATGTGGCTTATTGCAAGTTTGCTTTTCTTTTAGATGTTGTGTCCAAGTCGGGGGGTCAAAACTTTGTCGCATGCTTCGCTTGCTCCTCGACCGCCCGGCGACCAGACTTAATGAATTAAATTGAACCGAATTTCTTTGCCCACTTTGATCGGTGTTTAGTTGAGAAGTTTGCCGGAGTTTGTTTTAATTTGATAAGTTGAAGTCTGGCCCTGGATGCGGTTGACATGGAACATCGTATGGGTATATTTGCCGAGCACTCGGTGACCCCGAACGAACGGTCCCTATATATATTTGCCTTTTGTCGTGTCGCACGCAAAAAACTGTCCATTGACATTGGTTCTGGTTTCTGTTTATGCTCTCCATACGGTTTTCTCTTCACACATTTCCCTGCCATCCTTCTATAGCAGATTCGTTTGCTCTCCGGTTGTTTGCCAACTTGTTTTTCTTTGCCCAATGTTTGTGCTGTGCTGGGGAAACTCGCGTTCGAAAACTCGGCTCCTGCATATCGTACGAAATGTGGCTGTGGCTGTGGACAGTCCCACAGAGAACCAACACTAGCTTGGTAATCAGAGAACTTACTTCCTGCCTCTGGCCGAGTCCTCACTGTACTTGTAATTGAGTTGGCGTCCACTTGTCGTGGCTTCAAGTACACATGCAAGCGACGACGCCTGCTTGCATTTGATTTATATCGTCTGTGGCAGTTTCTTTGGCATTTTGTTTGCTATTTGTGATTTCAATTTATGCAAATCTCCCAGCACTCATTTCGTATGCATTCATTATGCATTGACCCCGATGGCAGACGGAGACGCCCTCTCAGAGCAGCTACATTGCGTATACGCCCTGGCATCCCCCATTCCAGTAGGCAACGGTTTTTGGTCTCGGTTTTTTATGGCTGCTCCTCCGGGACGGGCGACAGCTTGCTCTATTGATTGGTCGAATTTGTTGGTGCCCATAAAAAAGCATACAAAAATGTTCTCCACCGCCGACCATCGCCAGTTGACAGACAAATTAACATGGACATAAACTTGACGTCGAGCTCCCCCAGTGCACAGCACAGCACAGCAGAGCCGATTAGCATGTTCTTAAGCTTTCCCTGCATTTTATGACGCCAATTTTGGGGAGGACAAGTTTCTGGGGAGCAGGAGCATGAGCAGCGGCAGGTCGTGTGCCGTCAAAGGCACTTCAGAGCACGCACTGCTACTTTCACAGGCTCCGCCGACTCCACATGAGCAAAGCAAACTTTGTCTAAAAGCTTTCACTATGTCGTGCCTCAAAGTCTCCTAATTGTCCGGGAAGGCAAGCCGGGAAGGCAAGCGGAGAAAAATCCGCTACCAATATCCGCTACTTTAACTTCTTCCTCTAGTTGAAAAGGCCAACTTTAGTGAAAGTTTATGTCGGGTGCCCTTTTTTTCTACTGTTTCCCTCACAGGGAAAGTTTTAAGCACATGAACTTTGTTTGTTGTGCAGATTTTGTTGTTGTTGCTGCCGCTCGGAGAGCTTATTGTATGAAACTAAAATTAATTTATGAAATATCCCGCTGAGATTGACGGAACAAAAGCAATAGTCCGCAGGAAGTCAGAAAAAATTTCATGCTAGTCAACAATTTTGAAGTTCCAATTTTTTAGAAATTTTCCCATGTGTTATGAGTCATGTGAGAGCAGAGATGTGGAGGTGAGGGAGAGATTGATAAATTCTTAGAGGAAAAATTCCCAAAAGGTTCATAATTTAGTGATTTTATTAGCGTTACATTCCAGTCGATATGGGTATCGAAAATATTCCGACGAGGAATTCCTTAAGCTATTGAGGGATGAGCAAAACAGAGAGTGGTATATTTGGTCTTAACTTGTTGACTATGTGTCATCCATTATTTATTAGAAAATAATTAACAGTTTCTTTAACCTTTTCGCCTCCTCTGCAGCTGCTGCATTCGCGATGTCCTCCGGGAGCAGAATCAACTGCCCAACGGCATCGACACTTTGAGGCTGCCAATGCGACTGCAGCGCTATATTGACCTAACGGAAGAGCTGGAGGGAGTCGGGGGACAGCCAGAGCCACCAGAGCAGCCAAAGCCCAAGCCGGGCACTCGACTGGCAAGTGGCATGCAGCGGATGGACACCATCAGCAGCATTACCGAGAGCGAGGACGAGAGCGAGAACCGTGTCCAGCTGCTGGAGGCAGTCACGGATGCGGAAAAGGCCGCGGCAGCCGCCTTTGTGGCCGCCAGCGATGGGGCAATCACTGCCGAGGCCAAGCAGGCGGCTGTGGCCGCCTATGTGGCAGCCAGCAGACCCGAAGCCGATCCCGATTTCCCACCTAAGCCCCAGCAGGACGATGACGACGACGGGGGCCCTGCCCCAGAGCTTAGCTAGTGAAAACTCACCTGTAGGTGTGCTCGCTGACGTTGATGCGGCCGGGCACGCCTGTGGTCTCCGTACGGCTGGTGAGGTTCACGGTGTTGCCGAACAGACAGTAACGCGGCACTCGATTGCCAATCACGCCTGTCACGACCTCGCCCGAGTGAATGCCAATGGTAATTTGCTGCGGGGATAGAAAATAGAACAAAAATTAGGGAATTTATAACTCGAATTTGTAGGAATTTATCTAGGAAATAAACAGAGCCGTATCCAGAGCAGAGCAGCACTTCATTGCGCTAATAAACTTTCTTTCTTGGAGCATCCAAGTCCCATCATCAACACCCAACAACGAAAGTTCCACTGTGGGGCAGCCAACCGCAAAGGAATGTAGCACGGAAAACCACCCAAAAGTTGCCACAATTACTTTCAAAAAACTTGCAGCAGAGCTGGCAAACTTTTCTTTAATTAAATTTAAAACGAAATGAGCTGCGGTCTCGAGGGGAAAGAGCAAGAAATATATCCAGCAAAGGTCCTCTGTCCTCGTTAGTAGGTGACGATGCGAGAAGCAGAGAACCAGCCCAAAGCAAAGCAAAGCAGAGCCTGAGTTGGAGAAAAGTATATGTGTAAATGGGTAAAATGCCAACGCAGCCAGAGATAAAAGCAAAAGAGCGAAAGTTGTAATTACCAGAAAAACATTATAGAAAACTAATTGCCAAAGGCAGCAGCCCCGTCCGATAAGGTCCAAAGGCTCCGCAGATAAAAACGAAAATGCAGAAGGTCGAACAACGAAATGAGAGACAGACATTTGTTGAAACCCATTCTACTCGGAAAAGCAAATCCAATCAGAGGAAATGGCAGTTCTGGCTGGTCCTGGCATATGGTCCTGGTCAGCGAATGCAATCCTGATGAACGATTCAGCTGGGAGTTCGGAACAAAAGTCAACCATTTTGGCTTCACTTTTTCTACTATGTTTTCGGGTTTATTAAATAATGAAGAGGAAAAACCGAATACTTTAGCAGAGCTACAACGAACTGGGAATGCCCTGAGTTGGCATATAAAGAAAGTGAACTTCTCTGTATTGTTGGGAACCGTGAAGGTGCTTCTACGAATCACATAAAGTAGATATTTTCATGAAGATGCTTATTCGAATATATATAACATTCTGTCTTTACAGTACATTTTTTCTCACTTTTCATTTCCATAATAATGTGGGCTAGATTCTTAATGAGGCTTCTTCTTTGTATATCCTGTAGTCCATACTTTGTCCAGATAATTCAGGAATTTCTCTAAGCAAGATGAAGGTGGAGAGTGGAATTTATGGAGCGAACTAAATCAATTTCCCGGCCAGACCCTAGAGTATATAAAGTACACAGTAAATGCAAAAAGTTTTGCTGAAAAACCGAATCAATATTTATGGACTGCAAGCACAGGAAGTAGCCAACAAGGCACTAAGCAAACAGCCAAGACAGAGAGAACAGAGAGTAAGAGGGAGAGAGGGGGAGGGGGAGGAGGAGATAAAGAGCCAAAGGAGAGGGGAGAGAGACGAAGCTGAGCAAAGTTTTTGCATGAAGAAAAACATTGGTATAATTGGCCCCATAAATGGGTGGGGTGGCAAGGTCGAAGGGGTACCGGATGGCTGGATTCTGCTGCCTTTTATCAGGATTTAATGAAGCGCAAAATGACGCCAACGGTGGCAACACGCAGGGGTACGGATGGATAGGGTGCACCATGCAACAGGCTTCGTCGTCGTGGCCCAGTTTTATCCGATTCCTCCCCCGGGGCCGTTTGTTAATTGCATTTCAAGCGATCTATCAAACGCTGGCCTGTTTACCGTCGACTCGATAGATGCAGAAAGCGACACAGAAGCCGTTGCGGATTCGCTGCGGTTCGGAATGCTCTCGTATTCCCTTTTTTGAGTATTTCAGATACCGACGTGCAATGCGAGGAGAGCATGTGCCAGGGGAACGGTTGTGTGGACACGCTTCCGTCTACATTACCAAAGGCAATCAGTCAAATATGAAATACTGACAGCCACAAAAAGTTGACTGCAGTTTGTGGCCAGGACGGGCTATAGACTGAGCAAAGGAGATGGATGGATGGTTGGATGGTTGGTTGTCCCAACGAAAAGCTGGCAAGACGATAAGGTAATGGAATTTTAGCAACAGAAGTACAGAAAAACAACAACAACAACTTTCGACAATAAAGCCAAGTGACTCGGGCCACAGCTCACAAGAAGAGCATTTGAGGACGTGTCTGTCTGTGTGTGTGTGTGTGTGTATGTATGTAGTTATGATACACGTGCACACATACATGTACATTGGACATGTATGCTCGCATGTGTGCACATCCGCAGACATGGACAAAAAGTGACTGACAAGCCACAAGCATTGTCCACACGTACAATGCTGTAATTGTGAAGGATGCCATCAAGTGGGGCATCCGCATTCTCATACTCATCCTCATCCTCGTCCTCGTCCTCATGCTTATCCTTATCCTCAACCTCAACCTCGGATGTCTCTCTCCCCCTCTGTTGCGCTCTCTTGCGCTCTCTGGTTCTCCATCTCTTTCAGCCTTTTCCCTGTCTATTGCCCCGAATGTGTGCAGTGTATTTTAAGCTCGAGTACTCAAAGCAAAAGTGTTTAAGCCAAAAAGGAAAAGGGAGGGTAGATTTGGGAATACTCATAGAAGAAGAAGCATTATATACACTGGCAAATCCACAGCTGCATCCGGAAACGACTTGTTTAGGTGATATGACACTAGATGAATTTACTTTGGAACCAAATGAATTTTTCTCACAAAAACTGCAGAAGGAATTCTCCCATTGCATTGCCGGAGTCTAAAAACCCTTCATGGCTCGCAAATGCCTCGTTTCCTGGTGGCTAGCCTTTGGCATGACAAACATCTACTCACAAAGACAATACCTTGCGGAAAGGGTAATAGCTGGAAAAAGCTAGAACCAGCAGCAGTCAGGAGGCACTGCCACTGCCCCTGCCCCAGCCACAGCCTCATCGCAACGTCGTCTCTGGTGACAGTTGACGGTCAAGTGGCAACTGGCTCTGAGGCTCTGAGGCTCTGAGGATCCGAGTGAGACGACCCTGGGCACGTCGCATGTCGCACCCCAACTTGAATGCGTGTGTCCTTTGACATTGTGTGTCATCAATTTTGAATTAATTTTAGCAATTTTCGCAGTTTTACTACCCGAAACTTTTTACTGAAACTTTGTTCGGGCCACTGCGTGGCAAATGAACTTTTTTGTTCACACTTGCCCTGTTCCTGCCACCTCGCCCCAGCATCAGCTCTGCCCCTGCTACAAGTTGTTAATATTTTACGTGCACTTGCCACTCAATCCTTATGCTTATGGAATGGCGCCCGATGAAGAGCGGCAGGATTGGACGGGGGATAGACATTGAAATTTATGCACCATTGAGTTGTTGTTGCCGCTCTTGTTGCACGGAACGCGAACAGGGGCATTCAGCAACAAATTGCGCGAACATGCTGCAGTTGCATGCTCACACGAACGAGCACCACGAGAGAACAGAACGGGACAGTTTTCCCAACTACTTTCAATGCGCACAATTAGAGTGGCGGAACCCCACCATGAACCGCTCCAGGCACTCGAGAAACTTGAACATAAGTTGTCGCCGCTGAATGCATTTTTTTCTATAGAGCCACCACCGCAGATGGAAAGATACGATACACTATGCGATGTACACTATGCACTCACCACTGGATTTGAGCCCATTTTCACATTCTTGGCCATGTCCATCATATCCAGGGCCACGCGTGCCATGCACTTGGCGTGATCCTCGCAGGGGTCCGGCAGCCCGGACACGGCCATGTACTTATCGCCAACGGTTTCCACCTGAAAGGACACAGAGATTGTAATGAGTATTGGCAGGGATACACTGGGAAAAACATTTCGAGGGGTCCTTCCTTAAAATGGAAATAATTCCAGAGAACCAGGTTTTAGAGAGAACATGAGAAGACTCCTACTCATGAGACTCCTACTCATGGTTTCTCTATTCCGGATACACTAAGACCCTTTTTCTCTCAGTGCTTGCGTATGGACATTTGACAGGTGACCCACAAATGAAGCCAAAAATTGCATCGTTTTGGTTGTGTGGCGAAAATTGTAATTAAGTGGCCCGAAAAACGCTGAGGCTGAGGGCTGAGACTTTAATTTGAACTCTGACACATCCTATACGCATCCCCACACCCAACCCCGTCCTCATCCCTACCTTATACACATTCAGGTTACGCTTCGAGTCGGTGAGGGCATCGAAGACCGTGTAGAGTTCGTTAAGCATTTTCACGATTTTCATGGCCCCGTCGGGATCCGTGTTGGCCGCACAGTATAGGCCAAAGCCCACAATGCCCGAGAACATCAGCGTCACGGAGTCATAGCTGAAGGGTCGTGGCGTGGAGTGGAGAAGAGAGGTGAAGAGAAGAGCAAAGAGCATGAAAATATTTGCAATAAATAAATGGACACAAATAGCAAATTGTTTGCGTTTTCCCATCGGCTATGGGGGCTGGGTGGAATTGACATTGACTTACCGTTTGGGCGGCACTGGACGCTGGTGTCGTAACTCATTTGCCACCGACTTGGGCAGCACCGAGTAGAGGAGCCTGGACGAAATGGAAAATGCGGAAAAATGGAAAGGTAATTTCAATTTCGCGCCTGAGAGAATCGCCCCATGCCCCTAATGGGTTTCCATTGTCATTTTTCTTTACCTGTCGGTCTTCTGCTTCTCGCTCTCCAGATCGCGGAACGTCTGCTGCAGCTTATCCGTGAGCATTTCCAGGTTCTTTGTCAGCTTGTACTCCGCCTCGAACTTCTCGGAGAGCAGCACCAGATCCCTGGCCGCGTCGTGCAGCGGCACATCCGAGATGTATAGCCCCTTCCTGGAAATAAGAGACAAAGACACATTCCACATTCACACAGATAGCTCAAAGGGGGGGCGGCTCAAGGTGGGAGGGTCGAGGGCTGAGGAAAAATGACACGCATTTTATTTTACTTAAGTCTTTTTAAATTCTCTCTTGGCAGAAAATATTTCGAAGGGAGAGAGGACGAAAGGAATGGCATAGAATGGAATGATGGAGGGGCCGGCTGCCTGAGAAAGCATTTTTAATGTCATCTATAAATTTAGCCAGCTGAAGGCGCATTTGTTTCAATAAAAGCTTATGGGCAAGGCGTTCCCCTAATGCCACATTTAAGAGCTAATGTCTTTAATGTGGGCTTATAAAGAACGTAAACCAAGCAAAGACTCATCAGCTCTTCAGGCTGGTCGTGTACTCACTTGGTTAGATCGTCCAGATTCATGACACTCGGATAGCACTGAAACAATATGCGATCCGTTTCCGGTATGTACATCATTTGTCCCTGCGGAAAGGAGAGACGGGAGACAGATTAATAAAGAGGGGAATGATGGGGGGAGGGGGGAGGGGAGTACTCGTAAAATTGATTTTTATGCTGCACTCTGTGGCCAGGCCTCGCATTAAGTTTAATGCCAGGACGCGGGTGCGCGTAAGCGGCGATTCGGCTTTTTGGGGAAATCTGTTGGAAATCCCACCTGGTGGGAGACGTCGGCGTCGACGTCCACTCACCTTCAGTCTCAGAAAGCGCTGCTCGTGCCGGCTGCTCATGGCCCCCTGTCGTGTCTGCAGCACATAGATGGTGTTTATGTGGGAGAGAATGTTCTCAAAGTTGAGCTGGAGATGCGGCCGGATGGCCTCCACCACTTCTATCAGGGAGCAGTTCTCCTCGGCCACTCTGTGCGGGGGGTATGGATAAAAAGCGAGCAAATCAGTGCGGCTCACTTAGCTGAACGGCCCTTACTCTTATCCTAATGGCTGCCTAATCGCCAACAATGGCTCATAGCTAGCAGCGGGAACTGTAAAACGCGGTGCACTCACCTGGGTATTACACGAGAGACAGCCTTCCCAGCTTGAACAATTCTCATTTGTCTATCGAACATCAGGTGGAAGGGGAACACCTTGCAGAATGTGGCGGGCGATATGAGGGGCGCTGTGGATTAGCCAGGCAATTAGCTTAAGTAAAACTCTCACTCTGTGATTGCTGGGTCCTGGGCCCTACCTTCGCACAGAAACTCCATGTCATCGGGCACCTCATCCTTCTTGGCATCCACTTGAGACTTGTCCGCCACATTGATCTCCCTGATGACGAACTGCACATGGTCGTAGCGCTCGATGTCGTCGCTCTTGTTCTTCAGGAGCCGCAGGCACTTCTGCTCCTTGTCGCCGTCGCAATCGAAGCTGTCCTGTGGCACGGGTCCGCCCGGTAGTGCAATGGAGGGTTCTGGACATATGAGAGTTCAGTGAGCATTAATAATTCGGTGTTTCTTGATGAGAACAAATTCAGGGTATAGGCAGAGAACGACCGAGCGTTCAGTACGTTCAACGCCAGCACCAATTCATTCCATTCGGTGTCTCCCTCTCTTTTACCTGTCTCGCTGGCATTCTCTTGACCATCGTTGTTGTTGTTGAGGTTAACGTTGGCACCGTTGCTGTTGTTGGCCAGGCCATTATTGCTGCTGGGATTGTGATTATTGTTTCGCTCGGCATCCGTGGGAGGAGCGAGGGCCGCCGCAGCGGCTGTCGCCGCGTCCGTCTCCAACTGCTGCTGCTCGCGGGCGAGGGCGCGCAGCTTCTCGGCCTCGTCGATGGGCTCTCCTTTGCGTTTTACAATGTCGATTTCCACCTCGACGCCATGGAGCTTCGATGCAACGGCCTGTAAGAGAGATATACGTATGGTGGTGGTGTCAGCGGAGGAGTTCAAGGACTGAAACTGGCGTCTGGGAATCGTTTACCTTAACTATGCCGATGACGATGTGCTCCAGGCCAGGCCTCTCCGAGTAGTAGTGCAGCAGCAGCTCGCCGTCCTTCTCCGTGCACCGAAAGGAGGGAGCCCGCATGCCGGGGTACAGGGTGCCCAGATGGTCGTGCAAGGCATCCAGGTTCTGCAACAATTTGCGGTTATTGTTGTTGTGGCAATGGTGGTGGCGAGGACGAGGCAGGCGAAAAAATTCAATTTCATTTTTCATTATGACAAAGGATTCGAAGAGCATTTGCGGTGAAAAATGTGGAAAATTGAAAATAAATCGAATGTGAGTGCAACAAAAGGCGTCAAGGGTGCTGCATGCTGGATGTGGTGTGGCAGGGTGATATGTGCGCTCAAGCAAAATGGTTAATGCTTATCAATGATGCTGATGCTGATGTCGATGCTGAGACTCTGAGACTGAGAGACTGCGAGACTGCGAGACTGGGAGACTGCGAAGGGGACTGAGAGCAGCATGAAAAATGACTTGAGTGGCGATTGGAAAATGCAATTGTGATGCAGATGCATGGGAAATGAGTGTGAAATGGGATTCAATTAAATAAACTGCCGGCTATAAAGCTACGATTATAGATACGTATACGAGAACGTGTATGTATTGCTATAGTACCTGCAGGAAATCACGCGGCGTGGCTCCAAGCACTTGCAGGATCTTGTCGTAGCCCGAGTCCTGGCAGAACTCAAAGAAGGTCTTGCCAAACAGTTCCAGAATATCATCAGCGGGTATATCTGTGCAGAAGGAAGTGGCAGAGGCAGAGGCAAAAACATTAATGAGCTGGTCCTTAGGGCTGGTCCACAAGTACCCACGTGAGTGGTACTTGGCCATAACTGCGGCATATGTTTGATAATGTCGTTACGACAGCCATCATGAACAAAAGCCGCATCGTCTCGTGTCGACTAACTACTTACTGAGTATCTCAACAGCTGCTCCAATTAGATTGTATGTTATTTCATCGTCGTAAATTTGTCGCACCAGAAACTGTCCCTCCATGCTGACCATGGCCTTTTTTCTGAATGCCAGACGAGCCAAAAAGAAGCGGGCATCGAAATCGAGTGAGGGGCGCAACCGCAAATATGGAATGACAGAGAAGGGTTTCGGTTTCGGTTTCGGAAGTGGGAGTGGGAGTGGGAGCGGCAGTGGCATGGTGGGTGGAAAGAGTGGTAAATACATTAATTTTAATTAAATTGCTTCTGTGCTGGCGAATTTTTGAGTGAGTTGCTGGCATTTCTTCTTTGTATTTGCTCATTTAAAGTATGTGTATGTTTTTGTGTATGTTTTTGGGGCTTTTGGGGGAACATAAAGCGGCTGCTTCATATGGCGGTCAGTTTATATTCCTTTTTCATATTTATGTTTTTAATTAAGCAATGAAGACAGAATAAAGCCCTTTGAAATGAGAATTCTTGCGCTCGAGTCTTAAAAGTTTCGAGCCGGCTTCGGCTCTTGTTATTATGTTGGATAAATGTACAAATTTTCCGTGTTCTCTTTTGGGAAATTTATGGAAATGGTTTCCAAATTTCGCTTGAGTGGGATTTTTATAAAAATGGAACACAAGGAAATGGCTGATGAGCCGCCGCCCAATGATACCATCTGTGGTTTAATGATGGAAATTATAAACTTTCTGATTGCTGCAATTGAATTTTCGCTTATATACATTCGTTTAATCTAGATTTCCATGAGGTTGTTTTATATACGTTTGTTTAGGTGTATGTACAAATAGATTCCGAAATTCCGATGTAAGCAGTTCAAATGTGCAAGCAGATCAATGAAAGAACTGCTTTACCGTTTCATTGCAACAGCACTGTTAACAGCCTAGGTTAATAGCCTGTTACTGCTCTCCGTTAACAGCATGTGACTCCTGGTTACAGCGCACTGCAAGCGCTGTCTAACAGTTCTTTAACAGCACTTTCAGAGAGGCTCGCTCACGATCACCAAGCAGCCAATTAGAATATATACTGCAAGCCCGCCATCTACCCACCGTTAGAATCCTACATTAAAAACTCTATCCACTCTTCTACAAACAACTAGTGCAAATAACTGCTTGAACTATGCCTGAAAGCAGTTTAACAGAAAGCACAGCTTGCAGGCTCACTGCTTTCTCATAATATGGCTGTTTCAGCACTTCCGGTGTGCTCTACTTGGTTTCGCTTAATCTGTCTGATCTTTTTATGTGCCCACACAATCCACTTTCATATCGATTACTTTAACAGCTTGCAAGTCAGTGCAGTTTGAGTTCAAACGAGCAATCAGTTCAAATAATACGAGTACATACGACAGCTTGCTGTAAAGCCAGAGGCAGCTTGCAAACATTTCTCGACTATTTCATATACAGCTGACCTTTAAGCCATCTAATTACTTTTCGAGGGCTTTTCTCTTAAATTCTCCCAAAAGTTAACTCAATTTTAAAGTAAGATCTTTGTATGCCAAAGAGAAACGAAACTTTCGTCTGGATTTGCATTGAATAACAATACAAGAAAATAGGAAAGCAGCCAGCCGCTACCCAGCCGCCCATCCACAGGGCTGTCAGCTAGTCTGTTTAGTGAACATCGTGCAAATCGACTTTATTATTTAATAGAACTTGTGCCAAGCTGTTACCAAAACAAATTGAATACAACGTGCCGGCACAGGCACAGTCAGAAGCACAGGCACAGTGAAAGTAGCTGGTCGAAAAGGCAAGGCACCAGAAAGGCAAGGCGAAGTAAATAGAAAAATAGAAAAAGAGGAACGCCAACGTTGCAGAATTGAACATGAAAATCACACGCCGCGGCGTGAGTTGAGAGAGCAGAAGAACACAAAAAAAAGTAATAGAAAAGTAGATTTTGTACGTGCAAAAGTTTTTCCATTTTCCTTCCCTACGCAAGAACTTCTGATTTGCCGACGCGTCGCCTTCTGGAGCGGTCTGGCAGTGAAGGCTGTGATGGTTGTGGGCATGGCAGGACAGGTGAGCTGTGGCAACAGCGGTGCGGTGGCAACGGCATGGTATTTCATTATTGCTCATTTTTCAGCTGCAATGCAACCAAGAAGAAGCGCAACGACGGGGCAACAACGAAAACAGGTCGTAAGACGTTGCAAAATGGCAAAATGTGTCAGCAGCTGTCGCTGAAATGTGAGTCATATTTGCACCCACTTCACGATTGAGTTGCGTGTGTGCTGTTGCAGCTGCAGACCGGTTCGAGTATTGCTGCTGCACATATTTAATTTCGCATCTTCCAGAAAGCACACATCCTCTCACACGAAAGACGATAAGTATTTTATTTGTAGAAGCTGATTTTTAATTTCCTGAACTGCCAGCGGACATCGAATGGGTAACAGGAACATGGCAAAGCAGAAGCCTTCGCTGGGCGCCAAGAAATCCCCAGGAAACTTCTGCATATTACACACCAAAATGGAAATTGATTTTCGTCTTGCAAATTTATTATTCCATGAAATATGGCAGTTGCGGTTGGGCTGGAGGGAGAGCAGGCCATGAGGAAATTCAAAATTAAAATAAGATTTATGTCATAAGCATGCAAGCATTTTGGCCTTAATTCTTCCATAAAGACCTTAAAGTGCAGTGGAGTGGAACCAGATATTGGAACTCTGGTTTCAGCTTTAGTTAATTGCTGGACTAAAGTGCGAAGCACTCAAAATTATCTGCAGGCAGGCCTCTCTCTCTCTCTCTATCTCTCTGCTGATATTGCGATTTAATTTCATAAAGTCAACACCTGCCCTGCCCACCGGACGACCCTCGTCCCCGCACGGTTGCCCAGTAAATGTCTATCATTTTTATTGTGCCAGCAAGGCAACATTTTGCGCCGTAAATTAAATTATGCTGCACGTTTTAGTCTCCGTCTACGCACACCTGTACCACACCCCAGCCCCCAGCACACCACACTGCGTATGATTGATTTTTATTGATTTAAATGTGCGTGTGTTAGAGAGTGTCTCTGTGGCTGTGTGTGTGGGTATCTGGGCGTGTGTTAGCTGTCTGTCTCTCTGTTGTGGGTTTTTGTTCGCTTGCCTTTTGATCGACAACTTAATTGAAAAAGTTAATGTACGTGTGTGCCGAAGCAAGAAAGAGCCAGAGAAAGAGGGAGTGAGAGTGAGAGAAAGGAAACCCAATTTCGGTCACTGGATTTGGATCACGTTCAGGTTCAGGCTTAGGTTTTTTTTTTGCTGGCGCTTCTAATGCAATTTGTCGTTAATTCTCCTCCGAAAGACACACAATAAAAAAAAGTTTACCATTAAATTTCGCACATTTGCGGCAGCATAAGCATCAATTAATTCGTGCTGTAAAAATTAATTACGCACACACACGCAGCAGCCAATTTATTGGCTCGAACCCTCCTCCCCCTCTCCCTCCACGCTCTTCCATGACATTGCGTATACGCCCTGTGGCCCTGATAAAATGCAAGGCGACACTTAGTAGCATCCTCATCGTTTTCATTACAAATTCAATTTCCGCCCCGCCGCCCAAGTTTATCTCCTCGTCGCTTCATCTCCCCATCGCTCTCTTCCTCTCAGACCAGACTTTGGCTTCTCGCACTTTAAACTCATTTAAATATTGTTTACGCTGTGACAACGACAGCGACAACGCAGGAGGCCGAAACTAAGTGGCTTAATCTGCCAAATGGCTAGGAGGAGTCGTCGGCCAAGAAATATGAAAACATTTCGCGCCTAAGTAGCTTAGGCCAACGCCCCGGCCATATATATAGCCAAGTGTTTTTGTGTTTTTCTTTGCTGTTGGTTTAAGTTTCACGCGCAATGCCTTTTCCAGCTACCATCGACATTGAATCGAATACATAATGTATTATATGGATTCTATGCGTATAGATCCGGTCCGACCACGGCCACGGCCACGGCTTTGCTTTTTTCAATTTTTTTGGCTGCGGCTCGCGTGTAAATATTATTATTTAATATGCCAATCGCTGAGCCATTCAACCCACATCGACACTGGGGATAAAAACGGAGGGAATATCATCGTCGCACAGAAGGCTGCCAGTGGCAGTGGCTCTCTAACTATATAACTCTTCAGCAGTTCCCAGAGCACCGCTCCCAGCTCTCGATGCTCGCTTTTTATGACAGGACGAGGGCATTAAACCGCTTTATTATGGACTACTTGTTGACTTTTGTCAGGCTAGAACTTTAAGTTGGATTAGCCCCGAGTACTATGAGAACCGCAAACGAGGGGAAAATCCATAACCAATCAGCTGATTTGATTCTGACTTTGCTGCGGTTACAGTGAGAATTCCTAATGAGCAGCGAACCGACAGAGGCTTGAGGATTGTGTGTTTCGTGAGCCTCCGAGTATTTAATTGTGGTTCTCGTTTGCCTGCTGTAACTTAACAAATCAGCCTGGCAGCCGGCCCTGACGTGCACTGCAAAGTTGCGACGGGAATGCGGATGTGGGTTGCATGCAACCCGAGTCTTACACAGATGCACGAACACGAAAACTAACCGACATTAGCGCATTTTCATGGCAGGCACTTAGCCAAAGAGCGAAAGCTGGCTGCCTGGCTGGCTGGCTGGCACGGCTAAGAGAGAAGAAGTCACGGCATGCTCCTTTTCAGAAGTGCCAGAACTAACTTTCAGATAGTTCAATGGTTCGGTTCTGGAAGTGCTGCTATCCCACACAATATTCGTAAGCTTTCACCTCAATTTCAAGAGCATTTCCTAGTCTACTTACTGCTCTGAAATGCTTCCCCAAGTAGATGCTGCAGCAAAGACCTCCGACAAGAGCCAGAGCACACAAGAGCAGAGCAGAGGAGCCGAGAAACGGAAGCGAAATAAGGTTAAAAGCCACTTAAGACTCGGCCAAGTTAATGTGGCACATAACTCAAGTGAGTCACATGTTTTATTGTCCACAAATAGAGGACGCAACCGCAACCGCAGGAAACACAGAGCCAGAGCTAGAGCCAGGACAACGCCAGGGCCAGGGTCAGGTTGAAACTATTTAGAGCAGGGCTTCGGCAGATCGAAGGCAGGAAATTAACATTGAAATTACAGACAATCCGTAGGGGGAGAACCCCAAAA